ATATTTATTTTTTTTAATTTTTATTAGTTGGAGGCTAATTACTTTACATCATTACAGTAGTTTTTGTTATACATTGATATGAATTAGCCATGGATTTACATGTACTCCCCATCCCAGGTATTCCAGGTATTTCTTGACTTCCTACTTTTGCATTCCAGCCCCCTATGATGAAAAGAATATCTTTTGGGAGTGTTATTTCTAGAAGGTTTTGCAGGTTCATAGAACCATTCAGCTTTAGCTTCTTAGGCATTGGGGGTTGGGACACAGACTTGGATTACTGTGATATTGAATGTTTTGCTTTGGAAAGGAACAGAGATCATTCTGTCATTTTGAGATTGCACTCAAGTACTGCATTTCGGACTCTTGTTGACTATGACAGCTACTCCATTTCTTCTAAGGGATTCTTGCCCACAGTAGCAGATATAATGGTCATATGAATTAAATTTGCCTGTTTCAGAAATGGTTAAGCTAAGTAAATAAATATATTCTATGATAGCAGGTAGAAGACTTACTACTCAAAGTGTGGTCTAGGGACCAGCAGCATCGGCATCCCCCAAGAGCTTGTTGGAAGTGTAGCATCTCAAGCCCCATTTCACACCTGCTCAACCAGAATCTGCAATTTAAGTTCTTTAGGTTTGTTCAGTATCTTGAAGGTGAAGAAGTGTTGGTGTTGGACAGTCACTTGCAATACTAGGTGTGTATGTGAGAACCACCTGAGGAGAGTTTGGATTTAAGTGGTCTGGAGCGGGTTCCAGGTGGTTGGGTGTTTTACAGTTCTCCCAGGAGATTCTTATGTGTGGTTAGTTGAGGACCACTGAAGTAGTTTGTATTATGGGTGCAAGGGTAAGCCCCTGAGGACTGGGATTCGTGAGTCATGTGACCTGATTTACATAAAGAAGGAATTCTTGACATCACAATAATGGCTGAGCTGTTATCTTTCGCCTCTGTGTCTGACATAATGACACCCACTCTGCAAGGCAGTGACCAGAACATGATGCAGCCACCGCATTGAGCTCCAAGGTCAAACCTCATCCACTTTGCTGGTTCACAGGCAGCAGATAACTCCATCTGAGGAGAGGCAACCACAAGGACATCCACATTCAAGCCAAGATCAGAGTCAGGTGCAGTCACTGTCTCTCATTACATACCTGGGGACCTTTACTTCCCAGATTTCCTTTTTCTCCTTTCGTACCAGCTTCTCCTCTTGGACCCTATATATAGAGAATTAAACTGTTATTTTCTCCCCAAAAGAGAACTTCAGAATATTAACTTGAATATTAAAAATGGAAATGCTAAGTCGATAACATGGACAGAAATTAAAAAGAGAACTCCATTCACGCCTTTGGTTCTGTCTTGATTGGTCGACTTCTCCTTCTCTCCAAGGCATAAAGGTCCAATCTAGTGCTTAAATGGCTTGACATTTGCAGTCAAAATGAAGAAACACTGAACAGCTAAATTTTCCAATATTGCTTTCTAATTATTCTAAAGGATCTTTGTACTAAAATTCATGTATCTGTTACTTTAAAAGTAATTTTTACTTATGTAAATCTGCAACTGGAATAATTAAGTAGATTTTCTATTTAATAACTACACTAAAGATTGGTCATAAATAAGACATAGCACATTGTAAGACAAAATTTAGATAATTGTACGTCTGGAGTATTATGTTTTCTATTAATTTTGGATTCCATATGTTATACAAAGAAACCTTCATACTGTGTTTGGCTTTTGCATCTCATTTTAAATTATAAAAAAGCAAGAGCCTATAAAATGGATGAAAAGATGTAGTATTTCTTGTTTAGCATGAAATAAAGCCAGCCAATCTATTGAAATGCTTCCCCACAATCCCAGTGGCAAATATTTCTCACTTGAAGGTAAGAAAAGTGAACATTCTTCAGTTGCCAAGTAAGACAATCAAAAGCAATCAAACTAGAAAGTAATAAGAGGTCCAAAGGGCAGACTGTTTACTGCTCGGAAATCTCGGTAAAACGTGGATTAACTTTCTCCTCTGATGTTTATGGATATTTTGCCCAACTTCCATGCAGCAAGCTGCCAACATATAAAATTACTTCCTTTTTTTTTTTTTTTTAAGCTACATAGATTACAACCTTGAAAAACTGCAGGATCATTGCTGTCCTGCATTTGCTAAAGAGCAAATTTACTTCTCAAGATTTCAAAAGTAAAAGTTTATAGAGAAAAAAACATATTCTAACTTTCTTATTCCTGACCTTTCTTCAGCATTTCTGAGGACTTCCCTTCCCTCCTCATGATTGCTTTAGGCTACATTTTGCTCTTTCTGGCACACGTTTCCTTTCCCTTCATGTAAGCAGTGTTAAGAGCCAACTATGGCTTGTTCTTTGCAAAGGAAAAAGTGCTTGAGGCAGCTCCCTAGAGAAGTGAGCTAGGAAGATGACTATACATCACCCCCACTGAAGACCTCAGCTCTATTCTTTGCTAGGGTAGAGCCAATTTTTCTACATTACAGGCATCCAGATACATAGCTCAATTGACCAAAAATCCCAGTTTTGAGGCCCAGCATTTTATTTGGCTCAAGATCTCCCTAGGATACACCAGTCAGCCTGGACCATTGTATAGGGACCGCTGCCCAGAGTTCATTCCCTTTTCACCTCCTGACTGGGACAGAACCCTTTATAAACATTGCAAGTTCACATATATCACCAACATGTACAAGCACTGTATAAGTCAAGACTGTATTGCTTCCTTACTTCATTACTCTGAAAACACTTGAAACATCTGTACTTTTGCAAGAAGGTTGTATTCTATCAAGGGTTCAGATTCTTCTTTCTGTTCTCATAGCCTGGTAAGTTTTGTTACGTACCTGAGGACCCTTAAGCCCCAGTGACCCTGCAAGTCCATCTGGACCTGGGATGCCCGGTTTCCCCTATGGGGAGGGAGAATCAAACTATTAACAGTATTTTCTCAGAAACTTTTTCTCCTTTATGTGCAAGTTTCTAAATATTTTTGCAATCATGATAACAATGCAGGATATTTGAAAAATAAATGTAAATATAAGAAGGGAAACAAAAGTTTTCTATAATCTGAAGTAGAGATAACCATAGCTTAATATGTTGGTGTATTTACTTTCATTCTTCATAAACCACATGCATATGTGCATGCACACACTAACACACACACACTCCCTTCTTTGCCTGTAACACTGGTTATATACTATATCAAACTTGGGTGTTGAATATAGAAACTCACAATTTATTCCACATTTTCTTAAAAGATCTCCATGTATCTATCTTACATTATATTTATATTCAAATATTACATTATATTTATATTCAAATATTTAAATAGGGATCAAAAGTTGATCATTCCCTTCACAATGCTTTTGAACTCTGCCACAGATAAGAATTCCAAATAAGATTAAAAAGTTTAACTTAGTTGGATAGCCTATATTTATGTCTCAGGTGTTACACAGTTAGATGAGATTAACTGTCCCTCACTGATGCATTGTCCTAGAAATAATAAAGAGGAAATTCTTCAACACTTTCTTTCCCCAATCTCATCTCATTCACTTCATGTGATTTTTTTTTTATTTGCTATACATTTTGTTGCAATCTAACCTTGAAAAGTGTGTGTTTATGTGTGTGTGTGTGTGTGTGTGTGTGTGTGTGCGTAGCATCTGTGGATAGTAAATTCTTAGTCTTTATCTATCTGGAAATGTCTTATAATCATTCATAGTATAGCTAGGTATAAAACTGTATGTTATTTTTCTTCTGCACTTGCAAAACATTACTTTGTTTTTTTTGGCAAGTATTATTGTTGACCTGAAGCCTATTGCAATTCTAATTGGTATTCCTTTCATGGATAAAAATGTTTTTTCTCTCTGGTGGTGTTTAAGATGCTTCCTCAACATGCTGGAGTTTTACCATGATGTGATTGTGAATGGATTTATTATTTATCCTTATTGCATCTTCAATCTGAGGATGTGTGCTTCCTCAATTTTGTAAAATTCTAAGTCAGTGCTCTTTTATAAATATTGTAAGTTCATGTATAATATATCACCACCATGTACGAAGGGGACATGATATGACAGATGGCATTGTTAACTTTTGAACAAAACATTGAGATTATCCAATTTGTATTAAGGGTTTATTGTACTCTCTTGGTTAAAAAAGGGTTTATGCAAATTATGAATAAGGTTTCAGAGTTAACTGAACAAAAATTTGAAAGAAAGGTGTGTGTGTGTATGTATGTGTGTGTGTGAGTGTAGAATCTGTGGATAGTAAATTCTTGGTCTTTGTCTATCTGGAAAAGTCTTATAATCACTCACAGTACAGCTAGGTATAAAATTGTAGGTTATTTTTCTGAAAACAACCTGAATTACTAGAGTTTGTATTTGAAATCAAACAAAGTTAAATTTAATACTAATTGGGCCAAGCATTGTTTCTGACCTTTAATATTTAGAGTTTTTTTTTTTTTTTTATCAAAGTGCCCATATTTAATTTTCTTTAAAGATTTGAGTTCTTTAAGTTATAGCTTAAAAGTTTTCCCAAATTTGATTCCACAACCAATATTATCAAAAAGCAAAATAAATTTAGACTTTACAAAGGCTTTATTCAGGTTTCTTGACTGGACACACATTGTTTATCATTTGCAGTTTAGAAAATTTAAAAAAAAAATAAAAAAAGATCTCTGTACCTGTGGGCCTGTAGGTCCCCTTCGGCCATGAGCTGCCTACAGTAGGGAAAAAAGTAAATATCATTAACCCTGAAAAATTCTTTTTAAAGTTTAACTTAAATTAAAACAGAACCCTTGGGGCATTGACATTAAAACAAAAAGTTACCACATATTGCTTTAAATTACCCACTGCACCATGAAAGCAAAATATTGCCAACTCTGAATTTCTATCCTAGGGCAGTAGATGAATGAAACCATAGACAATGTAAATCTATACATACTGGTTGGAACAGATTGTGGTCAGTAATTCATCCTCTACTAAATTACTACTAGAACTTACCATAATTCATCCTCTACTAAATTACTACTAGAACTTACCATAAGCACCAAAATTGGCTGACTTTAATTGTATTTCTTTTCATTTTTCCAAAGTGCTACCAAGTAAGCCAGAAATTAAGTGTAGAAATGGCCAAAAGGCAGGAAGCCAGAGGAAACACTAGGAGAATTCATGAACATTATTATAGATTGATTTCAGAAGCTAATGACAGAAAAACTAATTTTATCCCTCTTCCCCTTCAAGAAGTCAGATAAGCTTACCTATCAAAAATGAAAAATCAACTTAAGAATTCAAGATTACTCAATTCAGTATGTTAACAAAATACTTGATCAAAAAAGTGGCTAGACTAAATGGATTTTTCCTACTATTCTTATGTATAAAGTGAAAATCTGAGTATTTCTAGATCAATATTTCATAAATATGGGAAACAAGAGACTAAAACATTTTATTGTCTAACTCAGATTATAGCATGACTGATATCCAGGATTGTAAAATTCAATACATATCAGACATTTTTGTGATGGAAATTTATTTGAGATAGTCAAGTCAAATTTTTATGTGAGGCTGGTCTTGAAAATTTTAAATTCTTCTGATTATATTTCAGTCAAGATCTCTTGTTATTTAGGAAGTAGACTATGTGTCTGGGGATATGATTAGAGGCCTCTTTCTTTAACACCGAATGATGAATGTCAAAACGTCCATATCAGAGGGATGAAAAGCAGTTTTTTCTACTCCTTTCACACAAGGGTTTATCTTTTCTGGTTCAATTCACATCAGTTTCATTCAGAAAAATATCTATCCAACATCTACTATCCACAAAGTATATAGGATGGGAACCATAGGATCATAAAGGTGACATACAGTCCTTGACCTCAGAAGACCCTCACCACTTGGGTTAGTGGGGAGGAGATAAATGCTACAAGTATTTACAAGGCAGAATATATCAGATGCCATAAGAAAGGGGAAGACAGAAATATGGGTTTCTTCCAATTGAAAAATGACTTTATAGACATTTCTCCAAAGAAGAAAAACAGATGGCCAACAGGCACATGAAAAGATGCCCAGCATCACTAATTACTAGAGAAGTGCAAATTAAAATTACCATGAGCTACACTTCACACTGTTGGATCATAGAAAAAGCAAGGGAATTCCAGAAAAACATCTACTTCTGCTTTATTGACTCTACTGCAGCCTTTGACTGTGTGGATCACAACAAACGGTTGACAATTCTTAAACAGATGGAAATACCAGAGCATCTTACCTGCCTCCTGAGAAATCTGTATGCAGGTCAAGAAGCAACACTTAGAACTGGACATGGAACAATGGACTGGTTTAAAATTGGGGAAAGAATATGTCAAGGCTGTATATTGTCACCCTGCTTATTTAACTTCTATGCAGAGAACATCATGGGAAATACTGGGCTGGA